AGTCTACAAGGTCAAAATACTCAGAGAAGATTGCAAGATCAGGGTGTATCATGGCTTCAAACAACAGCACTGAGCTGGGGTCTGAAGTATCACAACTATCGCATATAGAACTCAAGTTTGCAGAAGACTGGGATGAAAAAAAATCTCACATCAAAGTCTATCCCGTTTTCTTTGTATAGTAACAAAGCCTTTGACTGACCAACTCGAAGGCCTTATGTATCTCCAGAACTAGGTGTGGTCCATCATGCTTCGTTCCATTTGGTATCAGATACGCCATTTGTTTCTTGGACTGGTTAATCTGTCCCTTTTTGGAAGTATGGATACTAGCTCAACTGACGTTCAGTTGGGTGCAATCTTTTCAAAAGAATTCAATTTTCCTCATTGGGCATGCCCTTTTATGTCGAAACAGGCTCAATCTATTGTCTAAGACAACAATCATGGAAGCTCCTGTGCGCTTGTCCCCACTCGAATCAGTTAATCAACAATGTAATCAGTTCGAAAGGGAGGCAAAACTACAGTACTTGTAGCACCAGGGTGTTGGACGTGTCTCTGTGGTTGCCACGCGCTTGGACTTCCAAGCAGAGCGATATGGATTCAATCTTCGCTTGCCTGGTCGGAGAATGGGGTTGTCTCAGTGTGCTTCCGCCCTGCTCTCAACACCCTCAGTGCATCACTGTTAATCATTCTACAAATGTCAGTCTTGAATCCCTCTATCGACTGGCTTTTCGTTCTGTCTTCTAGTTCTGATTCGGCATTCTCCTCCTTGTGGCAAATCATCTGTAGGAATGCTTCCTGGTGTAAGTGTCACAACACCCATCACTTGTGGATTCTTCACAAGTTCTGATCTGCCACGATCTCATTCTCCGTGGAATACCTACGTCTCGGCACTCTGAAAACATTTCTTTTGTCTAACGCTGGACAAACCTTAACTATGCCCCCCCGCACACCCTGCCCAAAACTCTCTCGTTATCCAAATAACCGACAAAAAGTGCAAGGAACTGCCTTGTCATCAAGGCTTTGATTCTCTGCCTCCTTTCGAAACATGCATAAATGCCTTGCCGCCAAGATACCCTCACCAGTGGAGAGTATGAAATATTTCTAACCAGCCAGACTTCTCTGGGATATCAAAATCCAATGGTGTTGAAGGTAGCGATTGATTGGTAGACAGTAGTACTTTGACAGCTTCTCGCCCAAAATGGCTTAAAGGTAAGTTGGCCATTTTGAGCATGGATCTGACTTCTGTAATAATGGTGCGGATTCATGCGTTCAGCAAAGGCTGATGTTGAGCGTAACCAGGAACTGTCTTTTCAATCGCCCTGATACCCGGCCTTGTGCGTTGACTACAATAATCTTAAACTCCTTAGAGATAGTATGTCACCCACCATTTTCGTGTGCAAACACTTCAGATGCACCAATCGTCCCTTTCCACCATCAGCACTATGGTAATTCGTGGAAGACAGTGCTTGAGATACGTGGTCTGCCTATCGATGCGAGCGGCAGGCACAGTGCAAATAATTATAGAACTCACATATCGAGAGTCGTATTTTTTGGTGAACACAAAGATCATAGGGGCAAGGTGGATAAAGATAAAAGACATACTGCCGTGGTACTCTCGCTGCTTTGAGGCCTCAAGTGATTCTATACCTTCCAGTATCGGGACCTAAGCACCATATTATATATATATTGCGGAACGAGGTACCATATCCCACCACGGCAACGACGGTTGCAGTACCGTTCTACCTTCTGGGAGAGAAAAGAAAATGCAGACGGAGCGACGAATGTTGCTGTATGATAAGGACAATGATCTAACAATAGGCCGAGTGTATATACGGGTTTGAGGGCCCTATGTTTGGGCCTAAGATATGGTATATGTAGAGCAGGGATAGTACTTAGACCAACAATATTAGTTTCCCTTTCCTCAAAATCTGAAATCGTGACTAGCCGCTAGCACCGCCTATACCCACAATTTGGTGAACGCATCATCTGTAACTGTATTCAGTTGAACCTTCGAGTTGAGTATGTGCGGGTGGCCGTCTTTGTGAATAGCTGAGAGGGAGGACGTAAATGATTTCCCTCCTCGACGCAGAGAAAGACGCCTTTATGAAGTTCCAATTGACCATGCACCTGTATAACTGGGTGATGCCTTCTTGTCCAGTACACATCCACAGACAACACGGTTCAACCGACAGTATGACCTGAAATATGTGCTCACAGTATTTTACAGTATATATGTGGCCCGCAGACCGCAGGAGACGAGCCTAGCGTTGTTTTTATGGGAGCAGAATACTCATCGAACCACTTTGCGGAGATACTTATTGATTTTTCCCCATTTTTAAATAGTGCCAAAAGTCTCCTGCTTTATAGAGTGGAAAAGTTTTCCCTTTTGGGAACACAGTGGTATGGAAGCAACCGGAGTCTACTATCCACCTCGGGTATCTGCATCTCCAACATGACAGCATCTACATCAATGAGTGACTAAAGTCACCTCACCATCTTCCTCCCTGAGATGTAGCAGATGTTATTTCTGTCATTCTCCTGTCTTGGTTTGCATGCTCCTGTTTGAGTAAATGATAATTTCTTTTAAGATGACTCCTCCTTACAGCAATGGTATCATTTTTCTCATTCTCTCTGGACTTGGATCTACCACTGACTTTATATGCCGCTCTGACCTGTAACATTGTGCTCCGGCCCCATAATTTTTCTCTGTGACAAGGGCTTGTAACTGCGTACTGAGAGCACATCTCTTTTATAGTTCTTCATTAAGTAGTGCCTATTCTTTACCATAGACATCGTTATCCACACCATTTAGAGCTGAGTTACTCAATGACACCACATACAGAGTAATCCCAAACTATCCGGTGAAGATCCCACAGATAGGCATTGCTTGCATCTCGTCTTCTAAGGACATCCTCGCTGATACTGCTACTCAGTTACGAGTCCTTCGAATCCGTTTCAGGTACTTAGTGTAAGCTTGATCGGTCACCCTCTGCACAGCTTCAAGTTCATCGACTTTACGCATCATGAGACTTTTCCTTGAGCATTCGTAGCCCCTCGTATATATTCTCTAGCGATTTTTTTCAGAAGAACTTAAGCGGATCTTATTTGCATTTGCTCACCGTGGATTGTACAGGACTTGCAGCATCTATCCATTGTGTCGGTTTTGTACCCAATGTCCTGGTTTTTTTAATTTCTCCCACTGCCTTTTGTTTCATTTCTTCTGGCTTATTCGCACAACTGTCACCTTCAATTTGGATCGTACGAGTCTGTTTTGCAATTTGAGGTAGTCCTCCATTCTGGATTTCCATACATTGAATAATTCGAATCCTTAAGTGATCATTGCCCGTCGTTTAGCCATCGTCAAGATTCTATATCTGACAAAAAATTTAACTAATTCTCACCCAGAAATTCACCTATTCAGTGAAATAGTAATTTGTAGAAACTGACAAAGAATTTACCAACCCAAAGGCTCTGATATCCATCAATTGTTGGCGAGTTGATAATGATTGTCCAAGAGTGGGCCCCGCTGGGACAAAGACATCGTGGTAAAGAGTAAAATAAAAATTACTATTTATCACATATAGCCTCCAATAAATTTCAATATTGGGATATTTAACGACTCGAGTAATCCAACCCAGAAATAATCAACCACGGTAAGAAAATTAAATAGATTACCAGCCGTACAATGCAGATTGAAAAATAAGAAATACCGAGAATTTACATGGTTCACACCTTGCCAAACTGTTACTGGGCTTCGTCCACGGGACAAAAATCCGAATAATTCTCCACTAAAAATAGTAGATACAAAAGAGATTACAAAAATAGTGGCCACTCTAAGTGGTTTCCCAAAAAACACCCCAAAAATTATAATCCTACGACATAATTTTCTCTCTTTCTGCAATTTTTAGAGGACACTGCCCAAAAATTATAATCCTCACTATTTTCTCTCTTTTCCAATTTTAGGAACCTTTTCCTAAAATTCTCTACACTCAATTATGTATTCTTATTCTATATTTTTGTTTTTATACACTTTATTGAAGGAAAAACTTCTCCTATTTAGGAGAAGGATACGCGTTAATTATGCGTCCACCAACTGGATGCGCTATTAACGCGTCCAAGATTTCAACTTTTTTTTTCTCTTTGTACCCGACCTTGTTTGACATTTAAAAAAAAAAAAACGTGTTTTTGATTCTTTTTTTCCCCAAACTTGTGTGGGTCCCACGACCACTCATTTTCCTTTTTATGGATCCCACATGTTGGAGGGATCCACAACATGGAGTCTGATGCCATCTCTTTGGTTCAGCTGGTTAATTCTCAAAACGTCCCAGATACTGAATATGGGACTAGATTGCTGTCTTGACAGGCTTTTCTCTTCTTTTCAATGTTTTCATGTTCTCTTCTTTTCAATGTTTTCATGTTCGTAGGCTTAGCAATCAGATTACCCATGAACTGTCTAAGCTTGCTAAGTTTTCTTTAGATGTTTCTCTTTGGATGGAGTAGGTTCCTTCTTTTATTCATCCTTTGGTTTTGTTGGATTATTCCCTTTAATGAAAGCTATTTTCTCTTCTTAAAAAAAAATCCAATAACCATATTAATTAACGACAATATTTTCTATTATATTAATCGATCTTTCCATTTTCTATTTAATAAAAAAATTATCAAAAAGTCTTATTTTCTATTTAATAAACAAATTATCAAAAAGTCTTATGAAATTACAGAGGAAAAATCTGTGGTAAAAAATATGTTCAATTACTTAATTTATTTTATATTTAACAAATGTATATTATTTTCTTATTATTATTACTTCAGCAGTAATTAATATCATAAAAAAACTAAAATAAAAAAGATGAAATGATTTTATGGCCATAATTTAAAATGCATAAAAAAAGACAACTAAAATTTTTTTAAAAAATGAGATGAAAATACCGATTCCCATCCCATAAACTTTCAGTACGAAACTATTAAATTAATATCGCTCAAATTTTGACTTTGGAGACAGAAACTCAAAACCAAACTATTAAATTAATATCCATCGAAATAGAAAATTCAAGACCATTTTCAAAAATGGATCGGAATTCCCGCTGTCCGACCGCATACACTTGGCAAATTCACAGCAACTCTAGCTATTGGAATAAACCTCATATTTTGAAGGAGTGAAACAGAAAGAAAAGCCAAGAATTAACAACAAAGAAAAGGACACAATTTATCCACATTAAAAAACTTTTCCATAGGTTCAAAGCTGGGGACAAGCAAGCAAAGGCTACTTATTCATCTCTTCACAAACTTAAAAAGATCCTCATAGTAATAATAGTAACAAGCATTCCTGATAACATTGTCTCCAACGAACAGACATCATTTAGTTTTCTAGTGCTCCATGCTAATAATGCACCTCAAAGACTCTCCTTTCAACATATATTCAAATGCTTTGTTAATCTCAGAGAAAGAAACAGAGTGAGTGATGAACTTCTCCACTTCTAGCTCCTGCAGAACGAGAGAAAATAAAATTTACAACTTCGAAATATTTATAGTGGATAATGAATCTGTTTTGCAATTCGAAAAATCTTAAAAGTTACCTTTTTCATGTACTTCTCAACAACAGAAGGAAGATCGCTGCGAGGCTTGTAATTGCCAAAGAAGGTTCCTTTCAGAGTTCTCTCGTTCAACAGATTCATGGGATGAGTTTTGAATGCATCATCCTTGTTTGGGACTCCAACAAGTACAGCAACACCCCAACCCATAGTAGTTTAAGAATTTTCCATATATATATTATAGTATATATATTATATATATATATATATATTCTCTTTTAAAAGAGTAATATAACATGCAAGTAAGCAGGGGAGTGCTTATAATCATGAAACACATTCAATGCCTGAGATCATGGCTTTGGATCTTCCATGCTCGCTCGATACTCAACTCCCACAGTCCATTTCAAGCAATTACACAATAAAATTAATTAAGTTGCGAACATCAATACTTTGAACTCTTTTTATAAGAAGATATCAATTTATAAAATCAGTTTCAACATTCAACAGTTTTTTCACGCTTAAGGATTCCATGTTTTGGGTTTGATGGTATAGTATTCGATTGTCTTGATCATAGATTATGCCAATTTTAAATACAACAATTTAATAACTCGGTATAAAATGCCGAATAGCACTCAGATAATGACATTGAGCACGCAATATAAAAGATTGGCATCAGAACCCACTGTTTGAACAAGGTTGTCATGATTTTTGGGTTCAAACTCAGTAAGCAAAACTTCTTGTGCAAGAAGACAAAAAATTAAAAATCATTGTCAATTTAAGACCAACTGGATCGAGAATAGCGAGAAAAGCATGTTTTTAGGTTTACATAGTAAGTTGATTTTTCATGTAAATTCCAATCTACCATCCTTAAATCAGACTGGCATTCAATCTACAAACGATTATCCCTTGAAGCTCCAGAACCATTCTTGCCTTCTGAGCTAAAATCACATAGAAAGGGAGGTTACCTTTAAAGGTCTTTTTGTGGTTGCTATAGAAACCAAAAGCAAGGCCAACAGCGCCCAATCCAAAAATTGCAACAGACTGACCCTTTTTGGGTTTCGCAACGTTCAAAGTGGCACCAAGACCTTCATCAACAAAGGCCAAATTGATCATCAAAATCATTATCAAATTAATGTAGTCAGAATTGTCCAATCTTTATTGGTAATGGGGCCGTCTAATGGCTCCAAGGCTGTGAAATTACAAATTCAAATACCAGTAAGAGCCTAATTTAGGGAAAAAATAATGTGCATCAGTTTCGGTCAAAACCTGTAGAGATTCCACAACTGAGTACACAAACTTTGTCAAGAGGAGCATCAGGGTTGATCTTGGCAACACAACCGACATGAACAACAGTGTATTCACTGAAAGTAGAGGTGCCCAGAAAGTGGTAAATGGGCTTCCCTTGGATAGAGAACCTTGATTGGCCATCAGCAAGCATAACACCTCTATCGGTATTGATTCTGAGAAGGTCACACATGTTGCTCTCTTCTGATTTACAATGGCGGCACTCCCTGCATTCTCCAGTGAACACAGGAAGGACATGGTCACCTGGTTTTAGATCAGTCACACCAGGACCAACACTCTCCACAATTCTAAGCCCCAGCAAAATGAAACAAAACTAATCAACACATATTTTATTACAAAAGCCAAATAAACAGATTGTTAGAGATATACTAACCCACTAGCTTCATGACCAAAAATGCGAGGAAATAATGGCGATTGTCCCTGCGACGTAAAAAGAACATAAACATTTAAATTTAAAGCCATAATGTGAACATATACAGCTTCTAGCTTCAAGCCTCCAACAATCAATTAAATTGGAAAAAGTGCAGATTAATATTAAATATCTGACCTTTGCCTCCCAAAAGTAAACATCAGTGTGACATAATGAGGTGAAGAGGATCTTCAAACGAACTTCGTTAGCTTGTGGTGGTGCCACCTCCACTTCTTCAATCACCAGTGGTTTCCCTGCCTCCCATGCCACCGCGGCTACAATATCCCATTTAGACATTTAGACAAACAGTTCCAGTAATATCATAACAGATCACCCATTGTAATGTAAAACGAAAAAATATATATATTAACCAGACTAGTAAAACAAGTAGAAGATCAACATCCATGGAGAGAAATAAGTACAGAAAAGAAAAAGATAAAAAATTTACCAAAAACTCAAAAGACCCAAAAACGAAAAACAATACCCCAGATTAAAAAAATTAACCACTGATAAAGCGATTAATCGAATACCTTTGCAACGAATGACCTGACCGGCTGTGCTAGACATGGTTGCTTGCAGAGATCAGAAAATTAAGATGATAGAAAAATCCACTAGATTTTGATTTCTTGAATACGGGGAGCTCTAAGTATAGAAGTTGACAAAACTACTGGGTGCTATTTATAGTGGGAATCACAAGACAAATGTACGAGAATACCATTTCTTGGCCGTCAATTTTACCAGCGGTGGCTTCGAGGAGGGAAGTTCCAGTAAACTGTATGCGTTAGTGATTGTGGGCTACTACTGTACTCCGTGGTTTTGGTTACCAGTGGCGCCTAATGTTTTCGGGAACCGCCACGTGGAACTTGCTTATTACTCTCTTTATTATGATTTTTCAAGATTTTGAATATTTCCAAGGATAAAATGGTCAAACCAAATCCCATGTAATAGTCTTACGTTGTTTCTAAAATCAAACCGTTGCTATATTAGAATCCAAAAAATTACAATAATTAAAATTTAATTTTTTTTATCATTAACATATAGATAATATGAAAACAAAGTACGTAGTTGAAAAATAATATTTTATTAATTGGACTTTTATGTTATATTTTGAATTCTTTTGATAAATAAGAAAATTTTATTATTAAATTATTAATTTGTGCATTTATTTTAAAATTTAAAAATTTAATCTGTGCAATATCAAATAGGTAGATGAATAGACTTTTTTTTCAATTTTTTTTAAATTTTTTTAAAATTTTTATTAATGTCACATGATGATTCAAAAATGGACTAAATTTCTTTTTTAATTGTAATTGAGATGCCATCATAAAAAGTGTATAAAAATATCAAATTTAAAATAAAATTATAAAACTCTTAAAGTTCTTGATATTTTAATATCTCAGGCCCTAAAAAAATATTCTAACTTCATAACGAGTAGCATGCGGTCCTTTTATTTTTGTCGCATGGGAAGATTTATTGCACACGTATTTACTCGGGGACAATGATTATTCTACTATACTAAAATTGGAAGATTTGATCATGAAATTATTAATTTTAGTGATTTAAATATTTATTTTGTAACACAAATATTTAAAGAGGAAAAAAAATAAATTGATATTTGAATTTTAGTTACATTAATATTTCAAAAATTTTTATTTTCAAAAATTAATTATTAGATCATTAACTTATGATTCAATTAACAAGTCCGCTATTTTATTTAATATAATTTTTTTTAAACTGTCAACTTATTGAGAATTAAAGTCTAAATTATAGTCAAACTAACTATAAAATTTGTAAATATTTTAATATCTATTTTTGGATGAAAATAAAATCATAATTCACATAACTCAGTTGGAAAAATTTTGTTAATTTAACAATAATTTAGGATCAATTATTATTTTTTCTAATTAAAGAAGTATTATAATTATTTTCAGAAAAGACATAAAGTCAAAGCATCACATGGTTCACGGGCATGGGTAAAAGTCATGTTTTGAATTGTTTTTAATTTCCAGAATATTCGTCGTCTTTTTCCTGCTTTTTGACTTTTTAAGGAGGAAGACGAGTTCTAATTTACGAGTCACTGGAGCGAAGCGGGATGGGAAGTCATTCCTTATCTCATCTCTTTGATCAAGGAAAATTTCACCTATTTTCACAAAAATTTTCTTTTTTAACTTGATTAATTTTTTTAATATAGATATTTTATTTGTATTTATTAATAAGCCGATGGATCGAATATAGATATTTTTTTAATATAGATATTTTATTTCTAATTAAAGAAGTATTATAATTATTGATTCTAGATAAAGAAAAATACCAAAATTGAAATTTGTGTTTGGCCTTTAACAACAAATTTGAGGATAAAAGTATAGTATAGAACAGGAAAATTGTGTACCTATGAAGAAGTATTTTCGTACCATTAGATTTCAATAACTTCTATATGAACTATTAGATTTGATTAAAATAAGAATACTTACCACTTGTAGATTAGGTTAACAATATATTAATAGTATATTTAAAAATAATATATTAATAGTATTTTTATTTTTTATTATTTTTTATGAATATAATAAAATTTTCAATTTTAATATTTCTAAGGACACGAAATAAAACTTCTGTTCTCCTATCCAATAAAAGATTTATTTTGTTTTTCTCTTTAATATCATAAATAAGCTAACTATTATTAAAAATAATTTAATATTATCACTATTAAAATGATACTATCAGTATTTTGTAACTTAAACTCTTATATTAGGAAAAAATGTGCATTGGCAACCCACAATTATATTTATTTTAAATGTTCTTATTATTTTATTTATATTATTTTTAACTAAGGTATAATTAAGGGCATCAAAATTATTTTAAAATTCTACATCATTATTAATTAAAAGGTATTGTTATTCTCTAAAAAAATATAGTTATACGTAAAATATAATTTTTGTTAGTAGAAATATGATATGAATTTTTATAATCTTTACAAAATTTTCAATTTCACAGCTCTTTCTATAGTATATACTATTATTTGTATTTTTTTAACATATAATATTTTTGTTATAAATAAAAATGTTATTGAACCATTTCTTTTATATTTAGAAAAGAATGATTAATCTAGAAAAATTAAAAAAAAATAATTTAAAAAAAGAGATAATCAACCTGCTATAGCAGGTTTACTTACCACATGTCATTAAATTATAAATTTGTATCTATACAGAAATAAGTGTTTATTTATATAGAATAGGAAAAACTCAAATTTGAATTACGCGGGAATAAGCACATTCATAGTCCAATCTTCAAGCAGCGGGTTGTGACATTGGAACAATGACGTGGACATCCGTCTTTTAGCTTATGTCTTTTTTCCATTCCGTGGCTATGATTTATTTTCGTTAAAAATACATAAAATTCACCTATATATTTTTTCTAAAAAATTTTATGTCATTTAAATCTCTAAGCTTGATTCTTAGGATGAACAGCTAAGATTAGCACACATAGCAAATAAAAAGATCCAATGGTTGAGATTAAATATCATTTTGTTCCTATTTTCAAGAATTGATTCATTTGAGCAACGTGTCACGCATTTTCCAATGTCTAGCTAAGTTATATTAGGCGTGGAGTTATATATTTTATGGGCCAAAAGTCTCACCACTAACATCAAATTGGACATTGGGCTTTAACCTATATCTTGTGGGCTTACTTGTTTGTGGAACTTTATTCTCAATAGTGGACTAAATAGTGGACCACACTTTGTTCGGTATATGGCTTGATTTAACCAATCAACTGTGATAAAAAAAAATCTTTGAACCGCAAAATTAATCATGTCACGTTCTTAACTTTATTTTTTTAATAACGTTATACTTCTTTATACTTAAAACAACAATCTTTAAGATTTTTTATTATTATACGCAAAATATTAATTAGATATATGGTTAATATAAATTTAGAATAATAATTTTTACATCCTTTAATTATCCATAGTGTTTATTCGAATTGATTTTACAAATTGAGACGTTGAATGAGTCAAATAAAGTATTTAATAGGTCTACTTTAATAAATTGAAGTGTTTAATGAGTCAAAATAAAAATTGAGAGCGCCACAAAATTTTTTGTGAAAAGTAATAGATGAATTCATGTATTGACCCTTCATTTAGTTACAATGAATTTCATAAAATTAAATTTTTATAAATAAAATGAACATTTTTATTTATCTAAAATAACACTTGGTATTTTAAACTTTTTGCAGGTGTTAGGTGTAGTAAATTTCAAAAAAAAAAAAAAAAAACAAGATTATATTTGAAAAGTTGTTTTCTTTTACCAAGATTATCTTTAAACAAAAATTTTAATTTTTTATTTCTATGAAAATATTATGATGAACTCATGTTATATTTTTTTAATGAATTATTAATTTTTTTTAAATGAAAACATGAAATTTCAATTAAATTTTATAAAATTATTCATGTTTACCAAATATGAATAAAGACACCGTTTGACACTGCAAGAAGATTTGTAGATCATAGCAAATCTGAAACACTTCCATTATTTAAAAATAATAAATATATTTTGATAAAAAAAATAATTATTGTCCTTCATTTATTAAATAAATACCCTTAACCTTTCAAAACTCCTTTGTATATTTTTCTATTATTAATTTTATAGTTGAAAGAATATTAAGTACCTTGAGGTACTAGCAATTGAAAGAAAAATTTGTTTGGTTTACCATGAAAACTTTTCATTACACCTTTTTTTGACTTCACAGATATGGCTGCATACATAGCATCTTGTTTGATCTAATTATAAAAATTCCAATATGGGTGTCTAAAGGATACAAAAATGGTTTAGTTTGAAAGGTATAAATATAAGCATTATCAGCATGACAAAGCAAAATAATTATGTTTCAACACTTCTACCACTAAAATGCATTTAGTGTAATTTGCTAATTAGGTATGATTTGGTTGATCTTTTGACTTATATAAAGAGTGAGAATTATGGAGTTCGAGTCCTCTCGACTACAAGTGTTTTCACTAATATGGTAAATTCAGGGAAAAACTATCCTTATTGTGTAACCTGCGGTAGTGTTATTTCGGCATATTGGATCTCTCAATGGAAAAAAAAAAAAAAAAAAAATGGATCTCTCAATGGGAAAAAAAAAAAAAAAAAAAAAAGCAGTTAGAGGTATTTCAAATCTTCAATTTTTGTTATACTTATATTCTTTTTTCCATCGCTTATTTAAATACTTTTTGATATTAAGAAATTAATTTCTTGATCTTTTGTATTTTTAAATTATATATTCTTCTAATAACAATCAAAATGCTTCCTTACTTTTAAGAGTTATTGGGCAACCAAGAAAAGAAATCAAACTTTTGTGTTTCTTGTGTACAACAAGACTTCAAATTGTTAAGGGCAATCGTTATTCTTTTAAAAAAAAAAAAAAAAAAAAAGCAGTTAGAGTATTTCAAAATCTTCAAATTTTTGTATACTTATATTCTTTTTCCATCCTTTATTTAAATACTTTTGATATTAAAAATAATTCTTGATCTTTTTATTTTTAAATTATATATTCTTTCTAATAACAATCCAAATGCTTCCTTACTTTTAAGATATTGGCAACAAGAAAAGAAATCAAACTTTTTTTTTCTTGTGTACAACAAGACTTCAATTGTAAGGCAATCTATTCTTTTGTTTCACATACAAATTCCCTAAAAAGAAAACAAAGCAACAACTGTTTAGTTATGATTGTTACAACTTACAATCATCAAAAAGACACTAAAACGAAAGTAGAAATGATACAAATTTTCAACTCTTTTTCATATATTATCTTTTCTTGGATCAAACATCAACATTACCCACCATGAAAGTGAGTCTGCTCTCCTACCTTCATAATAATAAGTCATAATAATATCCCATTTTCCTTTCGGCTACCACTACTCTATGTACTATATAGAGAGCATCAAAAACCCTAATTATGATCAACTTGTCAAATTCTATAATTTGACCATGTTTTTAGGCTTTTTGGGTATAAACCCTTTTGCTGGTCAATCTTAATTTACAATACCAAAAAAGACCATTGATCTTGCTAATCAGAAGCCTATATAATGGCTGGATCATCAACCCAACTACAGGTGGGGAAGGCTGGGATTAATGAAATTATATTATAAGGATATATTAGTCTTTTCCTATGAACTTCATTATCTCTTTGCTTTCTTAGGAAATGATTAACTCTTTGGATTCTCCATTTGCTTACTATAACCCTTCTTTTCTACTTTAAATTCATAGGCCTAGGAATATGTAATAGAGTAAGGTTACCGGTAAGGAAACTAGCATCCCAAAGATGACCCTGCAATACAAGAAGGAATAAGTTGTTAAGAAAAGAAAAGAAAAAAGAAATAATCGAATGTCCAAAGTTGACTATATGTAAAATGCTTCCCCATATTAACAAATTTTGGATAATATAGTATGAGAATGGGAAAACTTAACTAGATCGGGTCCATATGACTTTATTTATAGACCAAACCAATGAAATTAAAGATTTTTAGTAAAATGATAATATTTCTGATCATATGCTTGAAAAAAATGATAAAATTGAAACATTTTTTAAAAAATTCTTAGTTTTATTTATTTCGGACTATAGATACAGTCTAGACAAGTATTTTCAGTACGAGAATTGTCCACCTATGAAATGGTTAATTCAACACCAAGAAACAAAAGGGTAAAGAGTAATTTTTCAGTCACGTAATTATATCCAACTGTTGCTGTGGATCCACCATTCTACAATTTTCTATAATAGCTCCTAAAAACAATGGCTTTCTTGATTTTCATTAAAAAGGTCCTCTCATTGGATAGAATGGGTAAAAAAAGCTAATTACCTTTAATTAATATCAGTTTCTTTTTTTTTTTTTTTTGAAAAAATTAATTATTATGAGTTGAAAGTAATTAACCATCTCTAATTTTGAAAAGCATGTTCACATTTATTTTTAAATATTTATGCAAGTGGTAATAGAAATTAAAACTAGATGTATGATTTTGTACGTATAAAAGCTACTTGACTTACCCTGTACTTAATATATCTGGATGTAATCCATATTCTCTTGCAAACACAAATGGTACTATCCCTTGTGGAAGAGCTGCCTGAAATTCAATTAGAACACAATATTTCAAAATTTGCAAGAAAAAATTTAAATTGTTTACTTCAATTAAATTATACTTATGCTGTAAGAAAGAGGCAATTAGGTTATATTACATTTCTAATATTACATAATATATAATACCTGTACTATAGCTGCTCGTAGCCGGACTCCTCTTAAACCCACCGCGACGGATGCTGCTGACATCACTATGGGGCCGCAAATGAATCGGATCGCCATCCCCATCGCTGCCTTCTTTTTGCCACAGGCAATTATCCGAGGTTGAAGGGCCATGAATAACCCTGAAATGGTTCAAGGAATGTGTCCGTATGAAGAAGAAATATTGGGGTTTAAGAGGAAAATGTCACAAGTTTGTAAATTTAACTTTTAATTTTAGATTTGCCTTGCCATATTAATTAATCATTAATCTTTTCATTAGTGGAACGAAATCATGTAAGCATTTTCTTTTTATGAAAAAGAAAAAAGCAAATACCTAAACTGAACATTGCCATTCCAAGACCTGCATCTGAAATTATTTTTATCGAGTATTTCACTAGACTTGGCATTCCCACATTCCATCTGCTCAAAATACCACAAACTAATAATAATTAGCATAGTTTAATTATTAAAAAAATCAAAAACTTTGTATGAACAAAACCAATGAACTTACTTGAATGAGATTAAAGACCAGAGGAGGCCTAATACACTTGAATATGTATTTGGATTGCGAGAGAGCTTCCGGCCAACCACGATCAGTATAAGTCTCATCATGACAATGGCACTGGGCATTCCTTGTTCGGTTGCAGCTTCTTCCGGCGCCGGAGTTTTACAATTGTCTCTGAAGCTAATTTCTTTTTCTGAGATATTAATTGACAAATAATAAATAATTAATTAATCTACTCTGTTGCACTTAAAATAAATTCAATAAAATAATACAGGACCTAACAAGGGAAATGAAACATAAATACCATTTAGAAAATTTGGGGTGAGGACGATGTTGGTGGTAATTAATTAGTCTAATTGTTTGGTTAGTTGAGATTAAGTGTTATGATTAGGGGTAAAATAATTAGATTCTCTAGTGTGAAATTGAAAACCAATTAGACAAAAGCAAGAGTTGGTATCTATCAATACACACGTGCTCTAAACCTAATGATGGTGCCTATCAGTTGAGGAGCTGATTTATTGAAGCCAATAGTTAAGAATTTCATTGACCACTGCTCTTCTTTTTGTTCTTTGCTTTTTTCTTTCTATGGGTTGGCTTGGTGGGCTCCATCTGTCTCATGGTGGTGGAAACTGAACTTGAATAAAAAGAGACAACATTTTCCAAATACTCAATGTGTTCATTTTATAAAATAACTTATTATTAGGAAAATATTTTTTTATATTTGAAATGCTTTAAAAAATAACTAATAAAAAGTACTTTTTTACTTTAAAAAATTATCACAGAAAAAAGATTGCATTTTTTTAAGAAAGAAAAGTATTTTCCAAATATTTACAATTTGTTATAATAAAAAATTATAAATAAGTATTTATTTATCGATTGTTAACGAATAATCATTATTATTGAGCATTGTACAAATATCATCATTGGTTGTCACTACCACCGATCATTAACAAGTATAATATTTATTTTTTTTATACATAAATTTTTCCTCATATATATTTAATAATAGATTTTTAAAATATGAAATTTTATAATTCAAAATTTTTTATAATTTAAAAATTAGAAATTTATTTTTAATTGATTTTCAATATTACAATTAAATAACAGAAAATGTTTTGTAAGGAATTTTTTTTTCAAAAGTAATTTTCGAGTTTTAATTTTTCGTTTTTTAAGGTATTTTAGAGTGTGAGATTCTAATGTTTGATTATATATAGTGGCCCCAAGGTTAAAATATTAATTTACTATAAAATTAATATTTCTATCTATAAATAAAAATAGCTAAAAAGATTGCACCAAAATTGAAGTTAGAATATTATAATTAATAATAATTAATTATAAAATTCAAGTTAGAATGTAAAATCATATAGTCATGATTTTAAATAACTAATCTTATCATTTAGTAATAAATTTACAAAATAATAGCAAAAAAAAAAAAAACAATATCATAGTGTTCATATCAAATCAGCGTGCTAATTTAATGCACTAATCCTATTAAATAATACCAAAATTGATGATGTTTGATTCTCCATTACAAAAATGGATATGGTGCTTCCAAGATCCATCATTTCCCTTCACAATATACTATCAATTAGTACTAATTTTTCTTTCTTCTCCATTGTTTTCTTTTATCAAGTGCTTCCAAAGTTCCAATATTACATAATTCATAATTGTTAGTTAATACAGTTGTTAGAAGATGAAGCTGAAGTTGACACCTCAAATCAGATTCAGACAAACAAACAAACAAAACTAATGATATTTAAAGACAAAAAGTACACTACAAAAGCTGCACTTGTCTCGTTAGTTTTTTTGGTGAGATTTGACTTTTGTTGTGATACTTATTTAGTTTACAGGTCTATTCATAAATCCAATTAATAAAAACTAATTTATCATTAAGATAATAAAATTTTTGATCGTATGCGAAATAAAGTTAATATAAATTTAAAAATTTTCTATTTTCGGTGCTTTGATACACGTGCAGAGTCTTACACTTATTCTAAGTAAGTCTAATCCATAAAACCATAATAGTAATGGCTAACATCCAAACGACATGGCATAGTGAAACGACAAAGGAAAGAAAAATGTTGTAAGACTTATTATTTATGATATTCGTACCTGTAATGTCTTTGCCGCCGCCTCCGCCAGCGCTACCATTCTGGCCCTTCCCTGGCGACTCTCCCCACGCCATTCTAACTTCGGGAACAGCTGGGGACTGCTGCCTGAAAAATTTTCCGGCTACCGGAGACCTAACCCAGTACGGCGTACCGGCAGAATTTGTCACGTCTAGCTCATTAAAGTTTGATGCTCGAGGCGTCGGTTGCAGAGAGTAAGCATCTGACGACGCGTATCCGGAAAGTCTCGGACTTGTTCCGGACCTATACCCGAAACCCAAATCACCACTGCATATTATTATCTCGTTGTTTGCTCCATGATTATAGTGACTATAACCACTACTAGTGTTATTGATATTGTACTCGTGAAATGGTGCAGGAGTATTAACTGAAAAGATTTCGGCATTGGAGAGGTTTGAGGGTCTAGGGGTGAGGTTGATGGACGATGATAGGGCAGAATCCGGAGCCGACGAAGTTGACCGCAGGATTCGTAGCCGGATGCGACCGTTTCCGTCAGTTTCGGATTCTGTGCGAAGTGGGTCTCGGCCGTCGAGGGAGATAACGTCATTGTCGAGTTCGATTTTAGTGATGGAGGCCGCTGTAGGTCCTGGAAATTGGGTTTTGATCAAGTGTGTAGCTGCTCTATACTCAAACAGGAAGAGCAAAAGGGTATACCTGTAATAACCACATTAACTTTAGCCATTAATGTTTATAATGTAATTGTTTGAAGATTTTTGATGGGAACATTTAAAACACTATGCATACCAGATGATACATTGTAGAACAACAACTTGCACCATGAGACTCTGAGTAAAATCTCCATACATGGCCATGAGCAAAGGAATACCCATAACAAGAGTGTTAGGCAAAGTAGCAACAGAGAATAGAGTAATAAGCCAATCCAATCCTCCATTAAAGAAAATAGCCCAAACTGATAGAACGACAAGAACTAACACTTTAGAAAGAGTATCAGCCAATATGAACTTAGTATCCATCCTGTATGGATTATTCTGAGATATAAAATGAAAAGATAGAACTGGAACTGCAAAAACAGCAACAAATCTATTGATTCCTGAACATTGCTCTGGTGTAAATATTTTCCACCATTTTACTGACCCATATGCAACTATCATTGCAAAATATAAGGGCACCATTGCACACATCACCTTGTAAAAATCGTCTCCTGTTATCATCTTCTCTTTTTTTTTTTTTTCTAATCAGTTTTTAAGAGTTTACATGTTAGTGAAAGGTTATTTTCCTGTGTTTATATAGGAGATTTAAGGACGAAATTGCCCTTAGAAGAGTAATTAATTTGCTTGAATATAGTAATTAGCGGGAATTGCGGTTGGTAATGTTAATGATTAAATTTCTTTACATGTATTTTTGTTTTTTTTCCACATGGCAAATATGAAGAGCAGATCCCTTTAGCTAAATTCTTTAATTTCTAGGTATTAGTTTGGAGTTAATTAATAATTAACTATTTGCCAATGAGAGATGCTATGATGAACTTAGAAATGCTAAATGTATATGCAAATTTCCCTTTTTAATGACAATATGATCTTAATTGAGTATTGTGCCTCTGCCCTCACACTTTACTGCCTCACTCATTGTGCTATTAGCAAATAGCCACCCCCTACTTCCCTTTCTATTTTCCTGTATTCATTATTATTATAATTACAAGATTGTATCTTGAATCATTTTTTATTATATTTGTATCATAGATCAACCGCAAGGTATAATCCCCTCTGCCCGTATAGGGTTTTTGGCACTCTCCGTTAAGTGCATTCTCATAAATCAAATCTTTTTTCTCACCCTTATAGTTATTGAGGTCACTTATCACTCCAATTAACACTTTCTTAGTTATATCATAGATCATTTTTAATTACAAAAAATCATAAGAAATATATAGTTTGTGATTTAATCTCAAAATCGAAACCTAATCAATAAAATGAAACATAAATCCACCAGAATTTCTCTTATTGGGGAGTCCAAGGATAGTTTTGGCTTTGGCATGATGTGATGAGGTGGTGAGTGTGGTTATGGCATTCTCTTTATTGTACTGTATGCCTGTACATGAAAATTATAACTAGACAAGCTGGGGTTTGGTGATGCATCAATCTGGATCACACGATTGGCCAGTTTTGAGTCATGATGAAACATCACGCATGCATGATCAGAAAGAAACAGCCTTGTTCATATGTGATCATTCTGCCTCAGAGAAATTGGGAACCCTTTTGCCAAGTAATTCATAAATAAAATATGATAAAAAATACATGTTTAATTATGCAGATGGTACTAATTCACGCTGGAGCTCAGACTGATAAAGTTCACTTAAAAATACACTCCATTTCTACTGATATAACCGTATTAAGATACCAATAATTAATGTACACAAAGCCTGAGGTGAAGAGAACGACTGGGCATGGCATATCTGCACACAGTCATCACTTACAAGAAAATTGTACCTGTGTGTAAAATGACAAGAAAAGGAAGACCGTCCCTTCATTTTCTACAAGTCATGCAATACAAAATTAATTAATTACACCATTGTTCTTGCATTAGAGAGAACAGAGATCTATGATATAGCTTCTGTTCTTTAAATAACAGAACACAAAAGGAATCTCGAAAACAATATCTTCAAAATCTAATTCAAATGATCGCTCAGTGAAAAGGCAATTCTATAAAGTCTGGAGAATTTTTCTTTTCAAAAAGGTAAAAGATACAGTTTCACCATCGGGTTCCTTTTAATTGTAAGTCCAATAGAATGGTGTTTTCGTAAAGTTCCTTGCCTTTTAACTTATAAATTAATCAGTTAAATCTTGAGTTTAGGTGAAGATATTCCAAGAACAAGCCACTGGGCTAGAGCTGACTAATTTCTTGAACGGTCGGTTTCGGGCTTTTCGAATTTGAAATCAGAACTGGTCCGAAATGGTGGAACCAGCCAGTCACGGAGTCTACACTAGGCTAGTGCATTATCCTCTCAGTTCATGGCAATGTATGAATGAAGGATGGATAGATCTTTTTTTTTTTTTTTTTTTTCTGTTTCTTTAGAGATAAACAGAACACAAGAATAGGAATCTCGGAAAACAATATTCTTTCAAAATCTAATTCAAAATGATCGGCTTCAGTGAAAAGGAATTCTATAAGAAGTCTGGAGAATTATTTCTTTTCAAAAAGGTAAAAGATACAGTTTCACCATTCGGGTCCTTTTAAATTGTAAGTCCAATAGAATTGGGTGTTTGTTCGGGTTAAAGTTCCCTTGCCGTTTTTAACTATGAAAATTAATCAGTTGAAATCGTTGAGTTTAGGTGAAGATATTCCAAGAAACAAGCCAACTGGGGCTTAGAGCTGACTAATTTTCTTGAACGGTCGGTTTCGGGTTTTCGAATTTGAAAGTTCAGAGACTGGTCCGAAATGGGTGCGAAGACCAGCCAGTCACGGAGGTCTACACTAGGCTAGTGCATTATTCCTCTCAGTTCATGGCCAATGTATGACATGAAGGATGGATAGATCTTTTTTTTTTTTTTTTTTTTGGATTTCTATTTCTTTCCGATTTTTTTTTTTTTTTTTTTGATTTATTTCTTTCCATAAATTTTGCATTTGATTGGTAATTCTTTAGTGCTATGTATTAACAAAAATATCAATTGAATGAATTTTTTAAAAGAATAGTTATTTTTTCTGCAAAATTTGGTAGAAGAAGAACAAGAATTGAAGGTCAACATCTACAGGCGACATGTCTTCTACTATTGCTATTGCTATTGCTATATATTAATTTAGGGAAGCAATATATTAACAATCATGCGAATAACATTTGTCAACTTGTTGCAGAATATGTATATATATGATGTTGTCTCCTTAACAAAGTTTACAACTTTCACACACAACAATTTTGATCACAATCATCCCTTGTTAAATTTAATTTTTTATTGTGTTAAAACACATTTTAAGCACAATGTCTCGTACTGAGATGACAATGTTTATCCTAATTAAACTGATGATTAATTCCTGATTGTTTTTTAACTATTCTGTATTTTCTTTAATTAAATTTTTTTATGATAAAATAAACAATTTTTTTTGGTAGACTTATTAATTAAATTTCAATATTTCATATTATTCTAAAGTGTTATCAAGTGTGCGCTTATGATAATCTGTTGTTAATTGCGGTCAACATTAATTAAATTTCAATAATTCATAGTATTTTGAAGTGTATTGCAAATTTGCAATTGTCTTATCTGATTGTATTTCGTTATATTGAGATTGTTTGCCAAGTAATGTTTTTATGCTTTTAATTCTTTAATTACCACTTTTGATATTTTTAATTAATTGGTAAATTAAAATTCACATTATTATATAATTAACCCTATTATTAATAAATGCTATGAGAGACAAGGAAATTAAATCTGATGGACTTGGCTAAAATATGTGCCCAAAAGTAAGACAAGAATTGGAAGATCCTATGCCTTACTTAAAAATTAATGATGTAGGATAGAATTATAATTGTTTGTGTAATAAGTTGCGGTAGGAGGCTTCATATTGAAGTTAGAAGTTCAACTCATCATTTTCACCTGCATCAATGGTAACTTTTAACTTTATTTCCCATTTACTAATTCATATGCTAAAGGAACTCTCTTTCAATAAATAATATCTACATGTAGGCATTTTCCGCAATAATTTTTAAAATATTATTTAGTGTTTTACTGGGTTTAAAATATTATCTCTCTATCCTCGAAAGGTGAGATGAGATGACAATGATCATTTTCCCATAACTAAAGGTCTCGAGTTTGAGTCTTGTGTTTAGAACTCCTTTAAACACTCAAAGGAGGAACCGCTTGCCCTCCTTTGGAGGCCAACCTGAATCCGACCCAGTCGAGTTTCGGATATTGGATGATTAAACAAAATAGAAGTGAGATTGGATGCTCCATTTTATTTTCCCATTGAGACCGAACCTAAACCTGTGCTCGAAAGATAGCCGTCCATACATTGATAAGGGATGTATGGATTCTCGAGAAGAGAGGAGCCATGGTGGTCCCCCCGGACCGCCTGGATCCCACGAGTGAATAGAAAGTTGAATCTACATTGGATCTTACCTGAATCGCCATGCTAATGTGCCTTGAATAATCCGCATCTCAGGGTCAGGTACTGATGAACACATTGAACTATCCATAAATGTGTAATTTTAAAGATCAAAATTAACGGTAATAATTATTATGAAAAATAATGATCATTTGCGTGGGGGAATATATAATTGATTGGAATTAAAGGACTAATTATTATGTTTAAAAAAATAATTAAATGTTATGTGCACGGGTTGAGGTTAGAGAGAATAATGGTCAGTGAGGTCTGATACGACAACGGAGAGAGTGGGAAAATTCCAAATTCCAAATTCCAAATATAGAAGAAGAGAAGAGTGGTGAGAGAGTCAGCAAAAATTGTCCATTTTTGCTTTGGTTTGTTTGGCTTTGTTTGAGCATATGAAAGTGAAATGACATGTGGCGTGATGTGGGTCCCATAACCCACCTGATTGGGTAGCAACGCATGCATTGCCAGACTCTGTACCCACCGGCCCATCATCATCTGATATCAATCAAATCTCACTTCGCTGCTCTCATGGCTTCTTTCCTTTTCTGTGGACCCCACTCACCCCCCATAGGTTTTTCCACGGAAGATATGTAAATGGATAAATATATTTTACAAAAGCAAATGTATAAATATTTGTTTAAATAATCATTGATAGAGGGTATTTTAATAAAAAATAATTATATTATTAACAAAATTTTCTTAATGGATTGTAGGCTTCGATCCATGACTAACAAAAGCTTCTTATATATATATATATATATATATAGGCTTGGTTTGTGGGCTTCAAGGCCTAAGTTTGTGGCCGACCATTGTTTCTTTTCTTTCTTATAAAATTTCTGCCCTTTATTATATTATATAATTTTGTCCTTTCATGCATGATACTTATCTGGATATTTATTTAATACTATGAAAATAATGCAATTAAAATTATATTTAGTTCTAAACGTACTAATTAAAATTTCCTTTCAAAAAAAAAAAGTACTAATTAAAATTAATTATAATATTTAAATTCATTGTGTTTATATTTAATTTAAATTTGAATGGAGTGAAATAGATTCATACGAAAAATTGAAATAAATTGAGTTGAAAATCAATAAGATTTTGATATGTTTTTATTGAATTATTTTTTAATAAAAAATTAATTGTTATACTTATTTTTTAATAAAAAATTAAATAATAAAAAAAAGTACAAAAAAAAAGGACTAAATATTAAACATAATATGAAATGAAGGCACTAAATTGAAACTGACACTTGATGCAAACCACCAGTAACAGCCCTTCGATTCTAGGTTCTTAAGAATTTCAATTAAATATTCTCACTAAATATAATGAGTTAATAAATTTATAAATAATTTTACAATTCAAATCTTCATTTTTCTTATTTTATTGTATTATTCTGCTATTAATTTTTTCTCAGCTGTGACATAATTAACTATTTATCTAACATAATTAATATACTACACAGTAAATCATCTCCAAAAAATAAAATAATACACTTCATTTATTCATGAAAATTATATTTCCATCTTTTTCTTTTATAAATAAGATAGGTAATTAATTCTTGAAAGAATAAAGAAAAATAGGAAATTAAATTAAAATGATTTTTATATATAAATATAAGTATTTATACCCGAATAAGATTATCACTTTTGCTTTTAACGCCAAGTCTAAAACAAAAGAATTACACAGTATTATGAGTCAAAAAAAAAAAAAATCATATCTAAACAATATAAGGTATTTAGTCAATCAACAAATATCTAACATTATATATTTTTTAAAAAAAAACTTACCAAATACCACGAATTTTCAAATATGTTAAGCAATATGAACTAATTTAGAATGTCAAAGTGTAGATATATTTTAAAGAGGATAGTGAAACATAGAAGGGAAGGAGAAATGAAAGAGAAAAACATATGATGTCATTGTTAATGTAACAATGACAATTTATGTTGTCTCTATAGATTGTTACATTGTAAGTGTAACAATAGCAATAGCACATTTTCCTAGCGCCCTTCTTTAGTTTCTTATAGGTTGTCTTTATAAATTGTTACACTGTAGCACATAACACATATACAATCACTGACATATACTATACAGGTTGTTATACGTAAGTGTAACAATAGCTGACACGTAACTATAACAATAGGTGACATATATATATATATATATATTTTTTTTTTCCCGGCAAATTTTTGAAGTGTGTAAAATAGCAAATAAATAATAAAAAGTGAGTAGAGTATCAAAATTACGAATATTGTATATCAAAATTATGTTAATCTATTATTATTTAAACAGCAATAAGAAGAATAGATTTAAAAATAAAAGAATTAAAAGAGAGAATAATGAATCAAGCAAGATAATTTGATAAAAAGAGATCAAATATTAAAGGCTACCACGGATTTTTATTTCGCTTAATTCTATCTAATTTATTTTATTAGTTTGATAATCAATTTTAATTATTTAAGAAGAAGAAACAATCCTAAAGTCACTAACAAGTTCTCCCGATATATTATTAGTTATCTTAACCAGTCTAATTATATATTTTCCAATAGCGCAATCAAACATGAATTAAATTATTATATTTTATGGTTTGTTTATAAATTTATAACCTAAGGTCACTAACTTATGAAAATTCTTCCTGAGTCAAGCCATGTAGCTTTCATATCAGGTTATTATTTTCATGTAATTTATTACCTTTTTCTTATCAAAAACCCTTCTCCTGATAGTAATTAAATGAAATAAATCAATCCAGTGACGAAACTCTGCTGAGTATTAAGTTCAATAATAAATTATACCTTGAACAAGGAAAAATAAATCTAATATTATAAATTGAAATAGAAATTAACCTACATCGAATTCCTAGTATAAGAATTCAGTTCGACATAGTAATTAAATTAAACTCAAATGAATTTGTAAATAATTCCATAGTCAACATGAATATTGAAAAATAAAATAAAAATAAGAGTTTAAAAATAAAAACTAGTTGACGACAAGCGGGAGCAACTTCCTTAAATCATGACACCAACTTGAATACTTGAAATCTTAAAGAGATAAACTAAATAAAGTAGAGAACAAGAGAACATAACATAAAAATAAACTAGCTAGTCTCTCTTTATATGGACTTTTTGAAATATCGTCAGATTCGTTTAGAAAAGTGAATTTTTACTGAGGAAGAAATCTTTTCGAGATAAGGAACTATTTAGACTTTGTATTTATTCGCAATTAGAACTCTTTCAACGTCTAAATATAATTATAGCTTGATAAGGCACGTCCCATAAAATTCTCATACAGATTCATGCAAGCAATACAGACTTAATCCGTAGTCTTGGCCCAAGTTGAATTCCGTAGAATAGCATGAGGGTGCTGGGTAGCACGGCTTGCTTGCTCATTGCTGGAAGTCATGGATAAATGATTTCTTTTAATTCTTTTTTTGCAATTTTGGCTGATTTTCTATAAAAATTCTACAAAAGTCTTAAAGATGAAGTGAAATATGATTCAAATAAGTTTTAAATAAAAACATAAATAAAACTAACCTTTTTTTTTGCAATTTTTGGCTGATTTTAAACTATAATTCTACAAAAGTCTTAAAGATGGAGTGAAATATGATTCAAATATTTTTAAGGCTGATTTTCTATAAAAATTCTACAAAAGTCTTAAAGATGAAGTGAAATATGATTCAAATAAGTTTTAAATAAAAACATAAATAAAACTAATTAAAAATTAATTAAAGTAATTAAAAATACTAAAAATTCTAATAAAAACTATATTAAAAAAACTATAAAAATAACACCTTTCATGTCCAAACCTCACCCACCAATCTCATCAACTTAGTGTTCTAACATTGATACATTATATTCCCTTTTTTCCAAAATAGAAGTCATTTTTTAGAGATTATTTTGTCAAAAACTATAAGTCATTTTGAATATTTTAAGAAGTAACAAATGATGTATTTTTAATACTATGCTTATTAACATTAGATACAATAACTACATTCACAAGTTATTTTTGATTTTGAGATAAGAGTATTTTAGTCAAATTATCCTTACTTTTGTTATAATTTAAGTTAATTAATTGATTCTTTAATCTTAGTACAAAAACTTTAAACGATTTATATTTTGAGACATTTTGTTATAATTTAAGTTAATTAATTGATTCTTTAATCTTAGTACAAAAACCTTAAACGATTTATATTTTGAGACAGATAGAGTAACCGTATCATTTAGCATTTAATAAAGAGATATGGAGAGAGAATATTTGTCTAGTAAAATTGTTGGCAAGCATTAAAAAATTACATTTATTATTTTTATTGCCGTCGCAGTATAACAATATATTTGTTACATTCATATGGTAACACTTGCCTTTGAAATGTCAACAAACTACAATCCATAAATATTTTTTGGGGACATTCTTGTAATTTACTATTTTAGGGAAACGCACTACAACAGTAGTTGTTTTGACCATTATACTTGCCATCTAGTAGCTAGCGTAGCTTATTATGGATAAGTTTTCAGACACATGATGTATGATTCGATTATATGAAACTTCGATAATGACATTTTATTTTTTGCATTACCGTTGCAATGGCAAAGGTATAGCTCGCAGGGGTTGAGCCTTCTGCAAAGTAACACCAAATCTATCTTCCATATCCATAGTTTGAGCTATAATCCCATCTTCAAGTTTCCAACCAAAAGAATTAATAAGCGATCCCAACATCAAGGGCAACATTCTTGTCGCCAATGGCAATCCAGGGCAAATTCTTCGTCCAGCACCAAATGGAATAAGCTCAAAATTTCTTCCTCGAGCATCAATATCCGAACCCAAGAATCTCTCTGGCATAAATAAATCTGGATCCTCCCATAAACTAGGGTCTCTGCCAATTGCCCATACATTGACCATCACTTGAGCATCTTTAGGAACCGTAAAGCCACACATTTCTACATCTACTCCTGCTCTGCGAGGAAGTAGTAATGGAACTGCTGGGTGCAATCTGAAGGTTTCTTTAATGATTGCTTGTAAATAAGGCAGCCTATCAACATCTGAATCTTGTATCAATTTTCCTTTGCCAATGGTTTGCTCAATCTCTGCTTTAGCTTTTGATAAAATCTTCGGGTTGCGAAGTAGTTCTGTCATCGCCCATTCTAACGTGCTTGAAGTTGTATCAGTTCCAGCAGCAAATAAATCCTTTTCACATGTGGTTGAGATTGAAAAATATTAGTATTTCAACTATTAGTAAATTTTAATATATCATGTATTCACCAGAATTTTTAATTTAGATGAGTAAACTCGTATGATATTAAGTTCATTTCAATAAATTAAAACTACTATTCTTAATACATATATCTATATATATATATATATAATACAAAATATATATATAACTACGAACTAAGAACTAAAATAATTAGAGTTTTCAAGAATAATTAAAATGAAATAATTCAAATTTTATAATCTAACGTGACCTACTTCCGTTGACTGATATTTAGAGTTTGCTAACTCTTAAGCACAGTAATTCACTAAAAGTTCCCATTGTTGATGTAAAATAACTTACAAGAAAATATTTTTCACAATTTTTTATTATTTGAGGCGCTCAAAAAAATAAGTCAACGGAAAATATTTTTCTAGTCAAAAGAAAATAAAGTCACTTTTAATAAAAAAACAACTTTCCATTCTCGAGAGAGTAAAATATTTTCCGGACATTGGCAAACCTTATAAATTTATATTTTTTAATTTATTAATCATCATAATTATTACCACCAGTCACCATTTGCTACCGACCACCACTACGGCCACCAGCTTTCATAATTTATAATTTTTCTTCGAATTCTTTTCATATTTAACAATAAAATTTTTAAATTATAAAATTTCTATTAGTATTAATATTTTTTATGGTCTTATGAGATAAATACTTCAATATTTTTAACTAATTTTCAATATTACAACTAAACAATGGAAAATTAATCATTTGAAAAATATTTTTCAAGGAAAATTTTTTCCATAAAAATATTTTTAATAAGTTATTTTACGGAAATAAATGGAACGCATAATTTTTCAAAAATAACTAAAAAGAATGAAATAAAAATAAACAGGAAATAGGAAACTATAGACACATTAAATAGTCCAAATGTATGTGACATATTTTGAGATTAGAAAGAGAGCGAGAAAAAGACAATGAGATGAGAGATAAAAAAAATGAAACAAATAAAAAACTAAGTGGTTGTTTGAAATTTCATAGTTACTTTTTAGTGTTTATTATACTTCAAAATACTTTTTAATTTATTTTTTCATTTGACCAAGTGCTTGTGTTTTATTACAACATTTAAATGATTAAAAAAAAAGATTTAATTGATCCCTCTTTTCAAAAAAATTATATAATAATCTAAAATTTAAAATTTTTTTCTTTATTCATAAACCGCCGCGATGATCACCTCTTTTCCTTTTTTTTTTTTATTTATTTATAAGGCTATAATAATTTTTAGTTTCTCACTTGACACTGAAAAATCAGTTTTCATAAAAATAATTTAATTTTCCAAAATCGGAAAATTTAGAAAGTACTTTGCAGACGCCCTAAACATAATATAAACTAAACAAAATAATTTTTAAAAATCAAACATAAATAAGAATTCAGTTGAAGATGGAAAATAGAAGAAAGAATAAAGCTCACCAAAAACAAATGTTTGATGCAATTCATATCCAAATCCTCACTGTTGTCTTCATTGAGGGAAAGAAGAGTATCAAGCAGGTCGTTTGAAGGAATATAGCTCTGCTGTTTTCTTAACAACAACCTTTCATCGATTATACGATCAAAAAGATCAAACAATAGCCCAAAATGAATCTCCAAGCGACCCTTTATACCTTGTGGATCAATCTTTCTAAGCAAAGGGAAATAATCAGCCAAGTTTGGTTTACCAACCTCATCCATAATGCACCTCACAACTTCTTTAAACTCCTTTACAATATCGGAATCCGAATCGCTCAAATCTAAAGAAAATATAGTGGTAGACAAAACATTAAGCATAGCTTTGAAAGCCACTTGCCCAATATCCACAGCAGCACCAAGGCGGCAACTTTCGTCAACTTGGTTAACAAGTTCTTGGATTTTCTTTCGCCGTAAATCTTGATCAGAATCAAGCTTCTGATTTGCAAAAATGTTAGAATTGCAAATTCTTCTAAGATTTCTCCATGGAACTCCTACGGGTCCCCAAGCTACCGATACTTCGTGGTGTCCACGGGCTCGGATTGCTTCAATTACAGGTCTGTTACAGAAACTGAGATCGAATGTTTGGAGAACTTGTTTGGCTAAAGATGAAGAAGATATTACCACTGTCGTAATTTGACCTAGTTTTAGACTCATTAACGGACCATGGATTTTAGCAAGCTTAGCCAAGGATTTGTGAGGTTTATCGCCAAGTTTTAGAAGATTGCCTAAAATGGGTAAAGGTGTTGGGCCTGGTGGAAGCTTGCCGGAACTAGCTGTTTTGCTTCCCTTTGATATCAACTTTACAGCTTGAATAAGGGCTAAGCTTAGTAGAAAAGGAACACAAGCCATCAGTAACTCCATCATCATCTGGTTTGGAAATTTAGTGTTTTTGGTTGAAGTGAAGCCTAATATCATAGTCTGCTTATATACAGGCAGGCGCATGCTCCTACAAGAATTTGTCATGTCAATTATATTATTTATATATTCAAATTCTACTGGCCGCCGGTCAATTCATCTCTCACCGATTAAAAACTTCTTCGTAAATTGAACCATTGACGTCAATTCATAGTATCCAACTATTTAAGTTGATACTATTTGGTAAATCATATTATTTATTATTAATGTATACTCCGATTTTTCAAATTTAAAATGTAGATACAACTTTAATTCTTAATATAGGAATTTTTGAGTATAAATTTAAATTGTTTTTATACGTACGTGAGGATATTTATACATAGTTAATTTATAAAGTTAAGTTAAAATTAAACTAGAGTAAAAATACAAATAATGGTTAATAACATCGTGGGAAAGAATTAACTATATATATACTATTAAAGGGCAATTATTATTTCATTATTGAAGCTACTTTCATTAAGAATAATAATATAATAAATTTTCAATCTAGTTACTATTACTAATAGTAATGTTAACATTTTTTTTTTGAAGAGAACATCGTTTTAAATTAAATATCATCACTGTCGCTGACATATAGAGAGAGAAAAAGGAGGAGTGGTATCGGTAAATCTAGTCATGGCCATAACCGGAACCGGGACGAACCGGAATCGGAACCGAAAAAATCCGGTTCGGTTCCGATTCCAGCAAATGAGGAACCAGAACCGACGGTTCCAGAGAACCGGTCGGAACCGGACTGGAACCGCCGGTTCCAGAGAACCGGTCGGAACCTGACTGAACCGGCGGAACCGGACTGGAACCGCCGGTTCCAGAGAACGTCGGAACCTGACTGGAACCGCCGGTTCTCACGCCGGTTTAGGGAACTGGCGGTTTCGAACCGGTTCGAACCGGCGGTTCGAGCAGTTGTAACCTGTCAGATTTTGCATTTTTTTTTTATTTGTTTGTAAAATGTCTTTAATTACCCCTTCCCAACAGCCATAAAACGGCTATATAACAAGCTCGGCTACATAACGGCTAGTTTCAAGGGTATTTTTAGAAAAATGAATTTTTGGATTTATTATAAATACCTCATTTTATTTACAAATTCATTACAAAAACATCTCAACTCTCTCTACAATATACTACACTCTCTACTTACTCTCTCTACCATATACTACACTCTACTCTATATTAATCATTTATTCTTCTCTACTCTACTCTATATTCTTACCATGCAAATTTTCGGGTACGCTTCTAACCTTCTTTATTTATATATTCTGAAAAAATACAAAAAGAAGAATTAGCAAAAATGATTTCTATGGAACATTTATCTTTTAGTTTTGGTGAAAAAGTAGGTTTAAAGTAGGTTTTAATAATTATTGTCAAAAAGCTTTAAATCCTTCTGCTAAAAGAGTACCAAGAAATACTGTAAAACGAACTATTATTTCTTTATCTAATAAAGGAAAAAAATAGTTAGAGCTTTTATTTTCTCAAATGAAAATTCGTGTTTCAATTTGTTGTGATGTTTGGAGTAGTGATCATTGGCAAATGCATTCTTGTATGGGTATTACATGTCATTGGATTGATGATGATTGAAAAATTCAAAAAAGAATTATTGGTTTTCGTGTTTTTGATGATAAACATACTGCAAATAATATGAGTAATTTGTTTTCAATTTTAGATGAATATAAAGTTGGACAAAAAAATTTTTTTCAATTGCATTTGATAATGCTTTATGGCAAATACTAGATCAATTATTGAACTTAAAAAAATTGAGAACCAAATATTGTGGTAAATTTTTCATATAAGATGTGCATTGCCATGTTTAAATTTATGTGTACAAGATGGTTAAAAATTCTTGATCTTTATTTCTCCAATTAAAAAAGCTATTTCATATTATGGAACACATCCCTAAGTGATGAAAAGTTGGGCTAAATTTTGAAAGAAAAAATTAAAGACCAAAAACGTTTTCCAAGGGATGTCCCAAACTCGTTAGGAATTCAACATATGAATTACTAAACGAGTCTTTTTTCTTATAAAGAATTATATGCTTTTTGTTACTAATAATATTGAGGATTATTAATTTAATATCCACAAAAATTGTGGAGATTTGTGCAAAAATTTGTACAAAAATTTTAGATATTTTAAAAATTTTTAATGATGCTACCTATAAATTTAGTGGGGTTTATTATCCCACATCTCATTTATTTTTACCTGTGTATTAATATTGTTAATGCACTCCAAGAATTTCAAAATGATGATTTATTAAAAGATTGTATTTTTTCAATGAAAAAAAAATGGTTATCTTATTTTAAAAATATAGCACCCCTTTATCTTGTTGCTATTATATTTGATCCTAGATGTAGAATGGATGTTTTATGTGATTATTTGACTATTTATTATGAAGTATTGAATCTTGATGTAGAAGATAATGTTAATATAAATGTAGTAGAAGATAATGTTAATATAAATGTAGTAATGCATGAAGTTAAACAAAATATTATGCAATTATATAATGAATTTGTTCAAGTTTCTAGTTCATCTACTTCTAATATTCCATAATTTCCAACAGAAAGGGTAAGTGGTGTTGGTGTTGCTCAACAAGTTTTATTACAAAGACAAAAAAGAACAAAGAAATCCAGTTCTATTTCTGAATTTGATAATTATTTAACAACTTCTTTTGAGTTTGGTAATGATTATGCAGATACAGATTTTCCAATTTTAGATTGGTGGAGTCGTCACGCAAATACTTTTTCAATTCTTTCTTTACTTGCAAAACAAATTTACCAAATTTTAGCAGCTCCGGTCTCCACTGTTGCGGTTGGAAACACAAGCTTTTAGTCAAGGAGGAAACATACTTGATGAAACACGATCTCGTATGACACCCGATTCACTAGAAGCACAAGCATGCGTGGATGATTGGCCCAAAGCCGAACTAAGAGCCCAAGAAAATCCAAAAGAAAATGAAAGTTTATTTGATTTATACGATGGGTCCTCAACGGGAACATCAACTGGTGGTGCAAATAGCGATTAAGGTAAAAGGGGTGAAATTGATATAAGGTAGGTAAGAACTACGTGGGCTTTGATTCCTCTAAACCCCAAAAGGATACGTAGGCAACTTAATTTTTTTTTTTAAACAAAAAAAAAAATTAAGAAGTTCAAGCCCAATTTTTTTTTTTTAAAAATTATGCTTCAAACTTTTAAAAAAAAATTCAGTTGAAATTTTTTTTTTAAAAAAATAATTATGTTCAACACTCAACAATCAAGTCTTTAAAAAAAATAAATTTAATTGAAGTATTTTTTTAATTTTTAAGGTGTATTTTTTAAGTTTTTATGTTCAAATAATTTTTTTTAAACCGGTTTTCAAATTTTAATATTTTTAGGTGTATTTTTTAATTTATATTCAAAATTAATTTTTTTTTTAAAACCGGGCATTTAAAAATTGTAAAATTTTAAAATATGCAAATTATGCGATTCGCCGGAAAACCAATCAGAACCGTCGGTTTTGTAATCGGATCGTAACCGGAACCGAAACCGGAACCAGACGGTTCTAAACCGAAACCGGAACCGAACCTTTTATTCCAGCTTTTTTGGAACCGGAACCGCCGGTTCCGGAACCGTGGCCAAGTCTAGGTAAATCAAGACAAAAAATAAAAATAAAAATAAAAAAGAAAGAAAGAAAGAAAAGAAGAAAAAAAAGAGAAGAAAGAAAGAGAGATGAGAGCCAGAAAGGGTGAAGAAAAAAAAAAAAAACAAAAAACAAAGAAAGAAAGAAAGAGAGAACCCAGAAAGGCTGAAGAAAAAAAAAAAAAAAAAATGAGAGAAACAGATGCCCGCAAGCAGATGATCTTTATTCTTTATATTTGAATAAAAAAAAAAAAAAAAAATAAATGAGAGAAACAGATGCCGCAAGCGAGATGATCTTTATTTTTATATTTGATATGTAATCTACTATTCTTGATTATTATTATTTTTGTTATTATTATTAGGGAAGTTTTATTTTAAATTTGGATTTTCTTATAATAAGACATCATTTATTATTATGAAATGTGATTATATATAGATTTAATTATATTTTTCGGAAATAATATATCGAGTGAAAATATAATAATTAAAGGGATTATACATAATTTCAGTGATATAAATATTTTAAGAAAATAATAGTAGAGATAGAAAATATATTGTTATGATATTTTGAAATTTGATTTAGATTGAATATACTTAAAATTCTTTTTATGAGATAATTGCATTAATTAAATTGTTATAAAAAAATTTTGTGAAATTTTAATATTTTCTTTGATTTTTTTTTTCCCAATAACAGGGAGGGTATTAACCCATAAGATCAAGAACCCCGAGGCCAAACGGCCCCTGTACAATCAACACCTGTGAAAAACCGAGTTCTGGCAGAAGGCACATGAAACAAATGAAGTTCAAGAGGAACATTAAAGGCCTCATCTGCCGTTGAATCTGCCAAATGAGATAAGGAAATAAAGTTAAAGTAATATTTGGTTAAATGACTTTGTAGTTAAAATATTGTTAGAGAGAGAAAACACCTCTTGTTGACATAAGAGGAAACACCTTCGCGAAAAAATATTTTTATCTGTTTTTATTTAATTATTATAATTTTTATAATTTCAATTTTTTGTATGCGTATCTTGGATACTTAAATTTCAAAGGGTTGGTGCACCTGCATGATTTTTTGGAATCCACAGCCCAAATGCTGACAACTAATTAATCAAATCACTCATTTTTGAAAGTGATATCAACGACTAATAAATATATTCCGACGAATAAGGAGATTTCCTTCATGTGTTGTTTCTAAGATATTTTTGTATACAATATTATTGATGCTTTTGTAAATATGAAATCAAAAACTTTTCAATTAAAATTGAAAAGTTTTGTATTTGGACTTAAAAAATGGATAAATTATTATTTACCAAAACTTCCTGAGCTCTAATAATAACATCGCCGGTGTTTCTATAGTTTCTCTCAAGAACATTAGCAAAATTATGCATTTGTTATTATTTCAAATTTTCATCCGTTAATGGCTCCTCGTCATTTTAAAATTGAGATAAAATTAATAAATTGAGAGTAAAAGAAAGCCAAAAACCCAGAAGATGGCAGTGAGAGAGCTATTGATAGAGTCTGGCATTTTCTGATGGGATCCTATTGATCTCATTTTGGACAACAGAACTAAAGTTTCAAGATATGTTGCAGTAAAAAAGACGGCGTCCTTTCAAACTCGGTAGATGATGTGAAGGTGAGTCACATGGCGTCCTTCCAAGTTTCAACATTGGGAGCGAGCAACTTGCAAGGATTCAACAAAAATCTGCTAAAACTAGTGGGCAATGTAAAGCAACGCATCAGCGTCAAAAAGCAGTTCATTTGTCGCTTTTAACTTGCCGTAACACGCACTTAATTTTCAGAAAACGACAAAATAAAACAATTGAAAGACTCTTAAATTTTTTTTATAATGGTTGACGCTCCATTTTTATCGTTGCGGTCGATTGTGAAAATCTATCAATTATCTAGTTAATTCAATATTAATAATTTTTCGGATTACAAGATTTATAATCTTTCTAGATATATTAAGCTATGTTTTTAAATTAAATTTTAGATTGGACTAATAATATTTTTAAAGCCTGAAAATAATTAGTCAAAATTCAACAATTATTAATAATAGCCCAAAAAGATAAAATTAAAAAATATTTAATAATTAGTCTAAAGTAATTAATAATTATTTGAGGATAAACAAAAGGAAGATATAGAAAAACAGAAAAGAAGGGATAAGGATTGAGAAGAGAGGAGTCCAAGGGAAGTGAAAAAGGAAGAATCTTATTACTCGGAATAAAAAACAAATAGAGGTAAATTTGGCTCCTAAATACAAGGAGCAAAAAGTCTATATTTTAGACTTTTAAGCCAATTTCAAGGACAATTCACATAAAATAGTTCAATTTAGTTCATTTAAAGTGATTGGACGGTAGCAAATTACGAATATTACTTTTCACAAACACCAAATCAACAACTATCCATCTTTGCAAGAAAGAAGAAGATGCAATGAAATTCTTTTCTAATCTCTTTCTCTTTTTGAAATTGGCTTAAAAAGGTGAAATATGAGCTTTTTACTCTTTATATATGAGTTTAGGGTCTAAATTGTTTTTTTTAAAAATAAAAAGCTAAGAAAGTATGAGCATGTCAGAAAAAAAAAGATGTCCCTGGAAATCTCAATCCAGTGTCTAATGTCGGCAAAGGTGGCGCTGTGATCACTGACGGAGCCAAGGGAGGCTGGGCCTTCATTCACAATGAATTTTTTTGCTTAGTGGTGTAGCTCCTGTTGTTAAGGTTTGAAGTCTTGGGATCAGAACCATGAAGATTGCAGTTTTTTGTTTTTTATTTCAGTTATTTAATAAATATATATAAAATTTCGATTCAACCGGTCCAACTTTTCAATTCATTAAATTCTTATCTTTATCTTTATCGGTACATTAATCTCTCGTAACACTAGTTAATAGTGCCAATGGTTTCACTTTCACGTTCTAAAATAATAAACCTGTAGACAGTAGTCACCAATAATAGTTAAAATGAAAAGGCCCAAAATTGAGGAATTATGCTTTTTTTTTTTTTTGGTGCGGTCCCTCTCTTCTTTACACGTCTCCTTTGACGTGCATATTTCATAGAAAGATGAAACTTCGGTAATGACATTTTGTTTTGTGCATTAACGTTGCAATGGTAAAGGTATAGCTCGCAGGGGTTGAGCCTTCTGCAAAGTAACACCAAATCTATCTTCCATATCCATAGTTTGAGATGTAATCTCATCTTCAAGTTTCCAACCAAAAGAATTAATAAGCGATCCCAAAATTAAGGATAACATACTTGTCGCTAATGGCAATCCAGGGCAAATTCTTCGTCCAGCACCAAATGGAATAAGCTCAAAATTTCTTCCCCGAGCATCAATCTCCGAACCCAAGAATCTCTCTGGCATAAATAAATCTGGATCCTCCCATAAACTAGGGTCTCTGCCAATTGCCCATGCATTGACCATCACTTGAGCATCTTTAGGAACTGTAAAGCCACATATTTCTACATCTACTCCTGCTCTGCGAGGAAGTAGTAATGGAACTGCTGGGTGCAATCTGAAGGTTTCTTTAATGATTGCTTGTAAATAAGCCAGCCTATCAACATCTGAATCTTGTATCAATTTTCCTTTGCCAACAGTTTGCTCAATCTCTGCTTTAGCTTTTGTTAAAATCTTGGGGTTGCGAAGTAGTTCTGTCATCGCCCATTCTAATGTGCTTGAAGTTGTATCAGTTCCAGCAGCAAATAAATCCTTTTCACATGTGGTTGAGAATAAAAAATATTAGTATTTCAATTATTAGTAAATTTTAATATATCATGTATTCACCAGAATTTTTCCGGAGATAAAGGAGCATTAAACATAATATAAATTAAAACAAATAATTTTTAAAAATGAAACACAAATAAGGATGCAACTGCAGATAGAAAATAGAAGAAAGAATAGAACTTACCAAAAACAAATGTTTGATGCAATTCATATCCAAATTCTCATTTTTGTCTTCATTGAGGGAAAGAAGAGTATCAAGCAGGTCGTTTGAAGGAATATAGCTCTGCTGTTTTCTTAACAACAACCGTTCATCGATTATACGATCAAAAAGATCAAACAATACCCCGAAATGAATCGTCAAGCGACCCTTTATACCTTGTGGATCAATCTTTCTAAGTAAAGGGAAATAATCAGCCAAGTTTGTTTTACCAACCTCATCCATAATGCACCTCACAACTTCTTTAAACTCCTTTACAATATCGGAATCCGAATCGCTCAAATCTAAAGAAAATATAGTGGTAGACAAAACATTAAGCATAGCTTTGAAAGCGACTTGCCCAATATCCACAGCAGCACCAAGGCGGCAACTTTCTTCAACTTGGTTAACAAGTTCTTGGATTTTCCTTTAAACTCCTTTACAATATCGGAATCCGAATCGCTCAAATCTAAAGAAAATATAGTGGTAGACAAAACATTAAGCATAGCTTTGAAAGCGACTTGCCCAATATCCACAGCAGCACCAAGGCGGCAACTTTCTTCAACTTGGTTAACAAGTTCTTGGATTTTCTTTCGTCGTAAATCTTGATCAGAATCAAGCTTCTGATTTGCAAAAATGTAAGAATTGCAAATTCTTCTAAGATTTCTCCATGGAGCTCCAACGGGTGCCCTGATAGAGATATACTATTAACCATGCATATGTAATAGTATAGCTATGAATGATTTTCTATTGACAATTATTTCTTTGTATTTAATTGGAAATTTATTGTGCATTAAATAAAATGTTATTAGCATATGAACAATAATTGTGATTAGTACATTTTGCTATGTATTTAATTGCGACCAAGTAGAAATGATGCTTTAGTATGACTGTTAAACATATTCTCTTAGCGAGCATTAGAAAATAATGTTTATTGTTGAAGAATTAAGTTCTCAAATAATTTTCAATAATAACCTATGATGTGCCAAAAAACACTAGATTCAACAAAAATAGATGAATTAAGGAAAAGGTTGCGCGTACCTGACATCGTTGTTCGTCGATCTTGATGTTAAGAATTAGGTGTGCCCCAGCCTTCCAGAGAATTGAAGAATCGAGTTTAGCGGACAGCCAGTACGAATAGGAACGTTAAAAACTGAATCGCCATTCAACTCCTCTGGCGCGACCGGCCCGACCTTTATAATACCTGTAGGTTAGTACAATTCCGCATTTCGGTCGCTTAACGAAATAGGAATTATTAATGGTCTTAACTTAAATCTGATAACTTAGCTTGATACATCGAATAGTCATTATTCACAAATCAATACCACGATTTTAAATTGACTTTACAATTGGACTGCCCTGTATCAATATTTAATTTTACATATTAAGCCACATAGAAAATTAATCCAGATAATCTCCCACTTGGGCGAAACATGTATGTTAAATGTTAAATAAAATACATACACCAAAATGAGCTCAACAAACGCAGTCATACGAGGTATCCAAAAACAATCTCGTCCATTAATTATATTGATAAAGAGCTGAAGAAACATTCGCCATAGATCTTATGACTAAGTTCATCATCAACTACCTTACCAATACCCCTAAATGACACAGATTCATTATAGAAGTGTAGGATGAAAACTAAATGTAATGTGATCATCATGTTTGTTTCCAACTGGTCACCAACAAAAGTGAGATCAAGCAAAACAATAATAATACAGAGTGTAACCATCAACCAAAATGAGTACTCAATAAAATTTCATCAACATAATAAAACATATCCAAAACAAAATAGAGCATTCAAAAACATATATACCATAAAGAGCAAACTCCCACTAAAACTAGACAGTCTTCAAACCAAAACGAACCCATATGAGCGGTCATCGTGCTCATGGAAAAACTTTCGTATCACTGCCTTTGTAAGCGGATCCGCAATCATAGGAGTTTAGTTCCAATATGCTTTAAGGATATTGCTGTCACCTCTGCTACCCTCTCCTTTCACAGTCCAAGCAACTTCTATCCTGCAAGTGTGTTATTGATTGAGAAGAGCTCCTGTTTTGTGGAGAATAAAATGGGCGTCTGAACCTGCTGTCAACAATACAACTTCAGTGGTCTTTCTATTCCACCTACTACAACGAAGCCCCAGCGAAGACAGTGACACAGCGTTTCGCAGCCAGAATAGCTTGACTTGGCGATGCTCATAAGATGCCTACGAAATCAGCTTCCAGGTGGAGGTTGGGTACTAGAGTTTGTTTCACACTCTTCCAAGAAAATAGCCACCACCAGCAATAGAAAGAATGCTTAAGCCAGATGTGGATTTCTGACTGTCTTGGCCATCCAGCCCGAAATCAGAATCAGGTTCCAGCGAAATCAGAATCAGTATACCCAATGATCTCAAGCTGATCTGATCTCCTATATGTGAGCATATGTCCCTTAGTCCTCTGAAGATATCTCATGGCTCTTTTGGCTGCTTTCCAATGATCCATTCCTAGATTGCTGAGATATCTACCTAACATGCCAACTATAAAAGAAATGTCTGGACGAGTACAAACTTTAACATACATAAGACTTCCTATAGCTGACGTATAAGGAACCTTTTGCATTTCCTAAATTTCAAGTTCACTCTTTGGACATTGTTGATTACTAAATTTATCACCTTTTGCAATAGGGGTATCCAATGGTCTCAGTTCTGTATACTTAAATCGTCTTTGAAGCACTCTTTATTCAACTTATTAGCTACTTTTGTGGATAATCCAAAGCAATACCTCGAGAACGGGGTCTCGATTGTTATCTGAAATCCCTAAACAAAAGAAGGCTCACCTACAATCTTTCATCTCAAAAAATGCCTTTGAAAAGAAAAACTTTGGTTTCATGCAACAAGACTTATAACAATAGTAGCAAGAAGCTCTATGTTCATATCCACACTATAAGACCAAAAAGATAAAATTCTACTCCCACGAACTTATTGGTTACACACAATTTCAACAGCATTTTGCCTCAAGTCCAAACGAGTTTGCCTCAAAGCCAAACGAGACAATTACTTAGTTGAACTTAAAGTACCATTGACGAGAAGCTCGCTTGAGTCCATAAATGGATTTCTTTAATTTGCATACCAGATGTTTTGGATCTCCAATTACAAAATTTTCTGGTTGCACCATATATATTGTTTCATCAATGTTGCCATTGAGAAACGTAGTCTTAACATCTATTTGATGAAGCTCAAGATCAAGATTTGCAACTAAGTCCATGATTGTCCTAAAAGAATCCTTCGAAGAAACTGGAGAGAAGGTTTCTTTATAGTCAGTCCCTTCCTTTTGAGTAAAGCCTTTTGCTACAAGACGTGCGTTATATCTTTCCACATTACCTTGAGAATCCCTTTTGGTTTTAAATATCCATTTGCAACCAATGGGTTTCTTTCCTTCAGGTAATTGAACAAGATCCCAAGAACAAGATCCCAAACTTGATTGTCTTGTATAGACTTATACTCTTCGTTCATTGCTTCAATCCACTTATGAGAGTCAGAACTCTGCATGGCATGATAGAAACTATCTGGATCATCATCTATCATGTCTACAGTATCCTCTTGTTCCTGAAGAAACACTATATAATCATCTGGAATAGCACTTCTTCTTTCCCTAGTAGATCTTCTCAAAGGCATTTGAACAGGCTCTAATTCTTGAGGTTGTTGAATTTGTTCTTTTTGTTCTTGAGGAAGAATAGCATTGTCTTGAATTGGATCTTGAATAGCGACAGGAGCAACTGGAGTCTGTACACTGGAGTCTGTACGCTATCAGAAACAACAAAAGGAATGAGAACCGAATCATCCTTACTTGGTTCCTCTTTAAAGACAATGTTTCTTTCTTTATTTCTCCCTCCAAAATCAACATCCTCAAAAAATGTTGCAATTCTCGTTTCAAAAAAAAGTTCTGGAAGTAGGATTATAAAACTCTGTTTAACCCATTAGAGCGCTCAGGAATATCAACAAAGTAGCTTGCTTGCGATAGTTTTGCGAGTTCCAGTTTTGTTTCATTCGGCTTGTAAGGCCTTGGCTTCAGCTGAGACATCCCCAAAACATGAAATGCTAGACTAGGCCTTACGTCCAGTTCCAAGTTACATAAGGGTGTTATTAGCAACTGCTTTTAGATGAATCCTATTGAGAAGATAAGCTGCGTGTCTTTAACGCTTTACCCCATAGAGACTCTGTGAAAGATTAAATGACTAATCAAGTCACTCCATACACTTCCATTAAGGAACATAAGAGTCCTATTACGTCTCTCAGATACACCATTCATGCTGGGAGTACCAGGCATTGTATATTGAGGGACAATTCCACATTCCTGTAGGAAAAGCGAAAAGGTCCTGGACGTTGTTCGCCTGAACCGTCATATTTACCATAATATTCACCACCACGGTCAGATCGAACAGATTTAATCTTCTCTCCCAGTTGATTTTCAACTTCAGCTTTATAAGATTTAAACACGTCCAAAGACTCAGATTTTTCATGAATGAGATATAAGTAACCATAAAGAGAATAGTCATCAATGAATGATATAAAATATCTTTGGCCATTTCTAGCTGCGCCATTTCTAGCTGCAATATGGAATGGACCGCAAATATCTGTATGAATCAATTCTAAAACATTGGATGAGATCGAATGGCACTACAGTCTCTTTGTTTAGTCTGTTTTTCCTTTATTACACTCAGATACAAGAATCCAGAACCTGTTAATCAAAGTGTATCTAACGATTACCCATAGAGAAAAAACAAGACGCTTCACTTCTTTCGGATTATGGATACATGACCCAAACGTCTATTGCCAACAGTACAGCTGAGTTATCAAATATTCAAACTTTATTTGGTACCTCTTGTAGTAATCAATGCATGGGATTTCATGGAATAACTAGTATCCGATGTCTAAACATATATTAGATCTAACTCACATTCATTCAAAGCAACAGTACCCAAAACTTTTGAATTTCATAGATAAAGTAAATACACTGTTCTCCAAAAGAACCAAGAAACCAGCATTGTTCCAAAAAGTAGACAACAGAATCAAAATTTTCCTTCTAAAAGAGGAATAACAAAAGTAATCTATAAGGATCCAAAAATAGCCACAAGTTACTAACCATTAATCTAAAACTGTCCAATTGCCTCATAATATCAACCAGATCGCGCATTTCCCACATAGGACGTATCTCTGTCACTGATCAGGTTGGGCTTTCTGTCATTGACGCAGCCCTGCAATGAAACACTTATATAGCAAGGTAGCACCAGAATCCATTCCAATAAGTGTTCTTTAGGGGAGCTGAATTAAAATTACTCACAACAACTTAAAACAAGGTACTTACCCTTCAAGGTACTTACCCCTCTTTGCAAGCCAATTAGCAAATTTAGGACAGTCCTTTCTCAAGTGATCCGTCTTTCCACAAAAGAAGCATTTTGGCACATAAGGCTTCTTTTGTACTGGATCTACAGCAGTAGCAACAGCAGGTTTCTCAATAGCCTTTTCAACAGTCTTTGCAGAAGGCCTCTTTCTTTTCTTGTTCTTGCCCTTCTCAGCTGAAGAAACAAAATGAGCACTCTCTCTTTTGTTAGAATTCATCTTTTCCTCCTCATCAACACAATGAGAAATGAGCTCGTTAAGAGTCCATTAGAAATGAGCTCGTTAAGAGTCCATTTATTCGGCTGACAATTATAGGAAGTCCTAATTTGTCCATACTGAGAAGGAAGAGAATTCATAACCAAATGGACTAAAAGGTCATCTGGTAAAGCCATACCCAGCACCTTCAGTCTCTTTGCAATCTGAGACATGCTAAGAATATGCTCCCGAGCACCACCATTGCCAGCAAACTTCATGGAGGTTAATTTTCCTAAAAGTGTTCTCACTTCGGCTTTGTCATTCTTGACATAAGCCCTCTCCAGCTCGGCAAGATAGTTTTGAGCATTGTTCTTTTCAGCTGAGACAGAGTCTCGAACAAGTCTCGAACATGTTCTGGGACTCCTTTCTGCATGATCATCAGACCTAAGCGATTAGAACGCTCCCACTTCTCATACTGAACCCTTTGAAACCTGTTGAACATCAGTGCGGCTGCGTAATCTAGTAAGGAGAGCAGGTCTTCCGTACCATTTCGCTGAATGCAGAGAAAGAGGAGCAGGTTCGTCCATCCTGAATGCAAGATCCAAATCCATACAGCCCAGAAAGATCATAATGTCTGATTTCCAAGACTCAAAATTTGATCCCTTAAGTTTAGGGACACAATCAGGATTAAATGACATGTTAGCTGACATCAGAGAAAATAAACAAATAGATAAGTATAAGCTCACAATTCACAAATGAAACAATTCACATAAGTAGAGATAAAAATGGAAATAAGATACAGACTCAACATTAATATTCTCATCTTTGGATGTAAAATATTCACTTGTAATTAGTATCTCAACGCAGCAATCAAATATTGATAACATAGTCCTGACAAATAATAAATCTTCCTTTGGACCGATATATCATTGTCATGGAAAATAATCAAACAATTATCACATACTTATTGCGCCAAACATGTGTTTAAAACTCAGCCAAATAGCAACCTTCCTTTAGGCCGATTAACTATCCGCAACGAATTCTAGTACACCTGTCTAATACTCTAAAATAAATCAATTCAAGGAATAGAGGTCACTTTGGTGACTTATTGATCAAATCAATTTATTTTGATCAATACCTAACCCTTAATGATGCCCTAGTGTACTGCTACACCAAACAGATACTGAAAGGTTTGAAGTATCTACATGAACGAAATTTCATCCACGGAAACATGAAATGTGCAAACATTCTGTTGACAAACAATGGAGGCCTGAAAATTGCAGATTTTGGATTGACAAATTTACAGAACCTCCTCAAGGCAGGCAGAGGGATTCCGGCCTGGTCCGCTCCTGAGTTCATTGATACGAAAAGACAAGGAGAATATGGACTAACTAAAGCTGATATATGGAGCCTTGGCTGCACTGTCTTGGAGATGTTAACCGAAAAACTTCCATACTCCGGTTTAGAAACTTGGTCGATATGGTATCGGATCGGACAAGGTATTCCACCTTCTATTTCCGATTCTCTCTCTGATAATTCTCGGAACTTTATCCAGAAATGCCTACAAGTTAATCTAAAGGAACGTCCAACTGCTTCCCAGCTTTTAGAGCATCAACAAAAAACGATCAGAGACAAGCTCCTTTCCGCCGACTCTCTCCAAAGAAACCAGAAAATTTGGCCGCCGACTCTCTCCACCTGCCGTTCCAGCCCCGCCCAACACAACCAGTTCCAACCGAAGACAAGCTCCGGTCGCCATTGGACGCGTGAAACGGACAGCCCAAGGGATGTTCAAAAAAACCGCGTTGTTGAAATCACAAAATCCCTTAAACTTGCAATTTTTTTTTTTTTTTTTCTTTTAAACAAAATCCGGCCAGCAAAAACAAAATACCACCGACGTGAAAATCAGGGTCCAACACATGATTGAATCAAAAGAAAACACAAAACATTAAATATCAAAACCTCTTACCTGTTCTTCGTATTCCCCAATGAGAACAAAATTTTTTTTTTTATTATTATTAAACAAAACCCTCAATCCGTAAACAGTAGGGAAAAAAAAAAACTTACGAAAATCAATCTAAAATCTAGCAATTATGCACAAGGCTCCTCTGGGGACCACGACCTTTATATACCTGTAGGGTTTCAACATAATTCCACAATAAACCTAGATCGTGAAACACTAGAGTTCAACAAAATAAGATGAATAAGAAAAGTTGCTAACCTGACACGTTGTTCGTCGTCTTGATGTGTAGTAATTAGTTTTACAGCCGGCCAAAAGAAAACGAGGACGAAAAGCTAGCAGTACCGAAGGAACGTTAATAATCTGAATCGTATATTCATACCTCCCGCTCCTGACCCACAACTATATACCTGTAGCTGTAGATAATTCCTTATTTTCGGTTCCTTTAACAACAATAGGAAATTATGTAATGGTCTCCTACACTTTAGATATCTAGTTAATCAGTATGAGTACCTCAATAGTCCAATTATTCACAATCAAGACCACATTTTAAATGGACTTTACAATTAGACTGCCTGTAGCGTAGTTATTTTACATATTAAGCCCGCAAATTAGAAAATTAAATCCAACAAAAATATGCATTAAATATGTATTAAGGGTAACTATATATATATATATAGTATATATATAATTATATATATCCTTATCTAACGGTATTCTAACTAAGCGTTAACTATCATATACAGCTTACTGCATCATTATAATAAGCTTATATTATATATTAATAATATATATATTATATATATAGTATCTATATATATATATATATCATATATATATATATATATATATATATATATAATATATATATTTAAGAGATGTTGGCAACTAAATGCCCTTAAAAAAAATCCAATAGTAAAACTACCGATAACAAGACATATTATAAAAAGCTATATTAGAGAATTAACAAAATAATATGCTTTTATAAAAGAAAGTGATATATATAACTTAGGACAGATGAAAAAAGAAAGTAAATTTATAATATAGGAATATTATATCTAATGATTATGGTTTTATTTTTGAGGTCAAATAACCATAAAATTGAATTTAATGTCATCCACAA